TAAAAAGCCTTTTTAAAGCATGTCAAAAGCAGAAGTTATACGGACCCAACAGATGATCAAATTTCAGAATGAGGAAATGTGGAAGGTAACACTAAAGCAACAAGATTAAATTGGGTTTTTGCATTCATTCTCACTCCAAGGAAGCTCATCACATCAGTTCCCAGATCAGGACCCCTCTTCACAGGGATTTGAAACAAGTTCCCTGACATGAAGTACGAGTAGTAGAGGTCAGGAAACAGTGATAAAATAAGCAGTAGAGAGTTGGTAGGACACGCAGCACTTAGGAGTTTTAAGGAAATGAAAAGATGAAATGTCCAACCTACTGATGGTGCTGCGCAAGTTTGTTCTTAAAATCGCCTCAAGTTCCAAGACTTAAAAAGGTGGTTAATGCGATGCCAACACTCCAGCCAGCAACGTACGGACAGGACACCTGATGTTTGTTCTGGCTAAGCTGCTAAAAACTCTTGGACAGAACAGAGGCAGTAAACCTAAACGTAAATACAATGCGTTGGGGGAGAACCATTGTAGCTTTTGTAGAGAAAAGTCACATCTCACAAATCTATTACTAATTTTTTTAAAGGAGTTGATCAGTAAGCAAGTAGACGATGGAAAGTCAATTGACATAGTCTATGGATTTGCACTTGACAAGATCTCACACCATAACCTCTTAAAAAAATCCTTAGCTGGCAATGGATACGAGGGAATGCTCCCATGATCCTTCTAAAGAATTTCTTGGAAAATACCAAACAGCAGCCAGGAAAAACGGGTATGTTTCCACAGTCAAGAGAAGACTAGAGAAATCCTGGTGAGATCTCTGCTTAGGCTTGTGCCATTTAATTCATATATGATCTAGGACAAGAGTAAAGCATGAGACGGCAACAACTGCTGAACAATTATTTGAGTCAGTAAAGATGTACAAAAAGATCTTGTAAAGCTGAGCAGTTGCTCAGCAGAGGAAGTAACGTGAAAGCCAACGTCAAGCAATCCAAAATAATTCAGCTGCTGTGATCGACGATGAGCTATTAGCTGACGCATACAAAAATGACATCTTAGAATTAAAATAAATATTTCTATCACAGTATTAGTTCATTGCCAAAACTCCCAAATACCAATTCACAAATAATTCTAGAAGTAAAAGAAAACAAAACAGAAACCACCACTATGCCACTAAGTCTTAAGTATCTTGTGCACTTCTGGTTCCAGTGGCTCAAAAATGCCATAGCTGAAATGGAAACAGTATGGAAGAACAAGGATGATCAGAGGAATTAAACTGATACCATAAGAATGAAAAATGAAACAAGAGGATTTTACAAGTTTGGAATACAGATAGGTGAGGGAAGCTAGAACATAGGTGGTTATCACAATGGATACGGAGAAGGCAATTAGGGAATGACTAATTACCGTCTCTTCCCATACAAGTACTGGAAGTACAAGAAGTTACTTCAGTACAAGAACATGAGGACAACAAACGAAACTACCAGCAAGAAAAAGGGTATCTCCTTTTCCACAGAACATATACTCAAGTACAGAACTCCTTACTACAGGATGCTGTAGGCGCTAAAAGTTCAGACAGCTCCAAAATATAACCGAACAAAATAGATCAAACTTCTCCAGGAGGCACTTAGCCCAAAAGCATTATTCTGGGCTTGGGAGGTGCTGGATTGTAGATGGCCAGATATTAGAAATACTTCTGCAAACCTCTTATGCTTATGCTTTTCTTCAGACATCTGCTTTCAGCAATTGCTGGAGAAAGCCTGCTAGAGCAGATGAGATTGATCCATCATAGACATTATCTTGCCAACTTTTTTCACCAGTTATAGTCCACAACTATATTCCTGAGTGACAAGACATCTCTAAAAGCACTTAAGTGACCAAGAGACACAGAAAACAATCTGCTGCATCCTTAAAATACTAACCTTGGGCCAGCAGGCCAAACCAACGTCAAGCACTGTTGTCAAACCATACATAACAAATCACTACTATCAGAGATATTCCTAAGGAAACAAACTACAACATTAGCTAAGTACAGCTTCTGCTAGTATAAATATTCAACACTACATTTCATACCACTGTACACATACCCTGACAGCCAGCCAGGTCCACTTAAGTCACATTTTCTGATAAGGACCAAAGACAAAACATCAACATGAAGATTAAGGCCTGAATGCTAAAAAGACTTCATCCGAAACAACTTTTCACCTACCTTCTCCATTTTATCTTCTATTAATTGCATCTTAATTCCTGAGCTTATCTGTTTAAAACCAATGCAAGTCACAGAAGATAATAGCTATAAAAACTAAATACACTACATAATCTGGTCTGAATAAATTTACCCATATCTAAGAGGCCTGTGTTTAAACTGTTTTTTAAAACAGAGGACCTACATCCTCTCTGGGCATCCTAAACGGCTAAGGCAGTAAACAGCTAAAATAAAATCTTACCCGATTTTTATATTGTCTCCATTACTGCATTTCATCTCTCTTTCAAAAGGCTAAATTAGACCCTAAAATATAAGTCTCATGGCACGAAATTATTGTCCTAGGTATGGATGAAACTTAAAGCATCCTTTATCACTTTCATACTTAGATTACAGGATATTGGGTTTGCTTGTTCACTAAAATTTGAGGGGTTTTTTTCAGTCTTTAACATATTTACATGCTTTCAGGAAAGGCAATGACAAAAATCAAGAATACTTCTCATTATATTCACTCTGAAATCTAAGCCACACTCAGTCAACTATTTCCACTTTCTGTTGCGGTAATTCAAGGCAGAAATACTAAACTAACCTGCAGGAAAAAAGTCCAGGCCAGAATAATATTGTAATATTTCATATGAATCCCTTCAGTGTAGTATCTGCCATACCTTCTTCCTTAACAGGAGCAGTCAATGTTAATGTGACTTAATGAAAAATCCTGACAACATTATCATATTTCTGAATTGAAATGACTTGATTACACTCTCCTTGAAGCTATTATTTACATCTTAATAAAGGACTATCATTACAGTTCTTTAATGGCTCAAAAGCCATCAAATAACAGTGAAAAACATAACCTGAGAGCAAAAAATACTTCATCTAGCTATGTAAATTTGACAAGTGTGTCTAACATGCACAAACAGCACATAAAAAATAAGAACATGAAGCAAAATCAAAAGAACAAATTCTTTATGCTTAGAACAGGGGGAAAAGGAGCACACAGAGTTTTAATTAAACTGCAGTTAACTTTGGGCTCACTTTTTGAATCAAAAATAATGAAATCCCCAGCCTGTACCTTTCTGTCCTCAGTTTCTACCACATGTCCAAAATTCTCAGTTTTGCCTACAAGTCTGTAAGAACCTTGCTTCAGGTTCTATTAATGCCTAAAGTGTTCATGTTTTTCAAAACAGAGAAAAAAAACCCATAAAAATACCTGAGGAGGTATTTCAAGCCTTCAGCAAATTTGAACATACTCTAGAATTTTGTTTGGTTTATTACCTGAACAACCGGAATACATAATCAACTTAGGCAGTGAAACTGAAGTAGACTAAACAATTTAATAATACTTCTTTCCAGAAGATGCAACTGGACTCAGCAATCTAAACTGTCACAAAAATATCTTCTAAAAAACTCTACTTTATTTACACTGCCTCTTTTGTATAAAGCCATTTTATTTCACCACAATTAACGTAATTAACTTACCATAACAACACATCTCATTCATGATTTCTCAAGACAAGGTCAACCTTCTGAAGAAGCTGAGAAAGATGCTTTACAGATTGCGAGCACAGAGACATTAAAACTGAGGTCAGCTTGGTACCTATTAGAAAACTTCTGATCGAACGTAGGTTGTCCTCACCTGACTTTCCCCCGCCTTCTCACTGCAGGTTTGTACTGGCAGATCACCCTGGACCCACCAGTACAGCCACACACATAGTTGGCCCCTTGCTGAAATCCACCAAAAGGGACTACTGCAGACAGTAACTACAGACAGGCAGGTGAGGGCAAGGATGCAGAGCTAACCTTAACTCATTTCAGTTAGATTTTCCATATGGTTCTTGATCTGGTGGCAAAAGATTGAGTAAAAACAATGGGGATGGAGAAGGCAGGAAAAAGGACTGATTTCTTGCCTTCTTGCTCCTGTTCCTTTGGTAATTCCAGTGATGGTTCTGTGATACTGGTCTACTCATTCATTACTCACCTAACATCAGCTGTGAAAATGTTCACCATGAGAACAAATTATTCTGGTCAAGAATATTAACGTCATTAATTAAAATACGATTCCCCTCTTTAAAAACTTCTCCTCCTGTCAAATTTGAAGGGAGCGAGGATAGAAGAGCTCAAACAGTTTGACAGAAAAGCCTTACACTACAGAAACAAGAGGTCCCCAGAGTATCAGAGGGATTACATTCAGCGATATCCCTTTTTCCCATTTCCCTTCTTTCTAAGATAGATAGCCATGCGTTAGAAAGCACAGTGGCCATTAGTTAAAGGGACTCTATAACCCTATGTACAAACATCCTTAAAGACATGAGGATGGCAGCATTCAGAATAGGCAGCTTCAATACAGAATTTGTGAGTATGAAGGAAGAAATGCTAAATATATAGTTTAAACCTTCAACCACCGCAGACGCAAAGACTACTTTCTTAGCAGTTAGCTTAATATAAAGTCCTGCCAATATATTAGTATCACTAAACAGGAGCATTTAACTATCTATAATACAAACATTAAATCTAATTTAAGTCCAAGATTCTTCACAAGCACAGAGAAATTAAAGACTATCAAAAGCTCTCCTAACAGTATTAAATAAAACTGTTCTCAGAGTTACTATGAACAGACAAAAATTGTTTCCCAGAAACTACCCTATTAGCTTTAAACTACATAAAGAAAATTTAACAACGTTTCATCCACATCAATTACTCGCAAATCAAATCTTCAGTCTTATCTGCATACAGCCAGCTGGCTTTTAAAATTCTGCTGTAATTGAGAGGAAAAATAATTAAGCAATATTATTAGTCATCTTACCATTGTTCCCTGGTGGTTGTAATGCATCTCCTGTCAAGCTACACCATCCAACTGGGAAAATATCTCGAGAATCACATCTGCACCAATAGTCAAATGCTCCTCTCCAGCCATCAAACGTAACAAAAACTTCGTCTCCTTTAACGTCTCCAATGGTTGCCGGGCAAATCAAGTATGGGTTCTTTCTATCTATAGCTTCAAGTTTCATTCCAACTTTAAAGCAGTTTGGCACAGGTTTTGGTGGTTCCTACAAAAGTAAGAGTGGTAGAATATTTTGTATTTCTATGGCCTCTTAAAAAAAGAGGAAAAACCTCTATTCTTCAACATCCTTACTTCTTACACTCATCACTCTCAAAAAGTTATAGTAGACATTCAAGGAAACTTACTCGTATTTCAAATTTGCATTTGCTCTTCTGTATTATAAAAATCTATATTCTATTCCGAAAAACAGAGCTGGGATAATTAGCAAAATTCTCCATGACAAAAAGAGCCTGCTAAAAGTATTTACATAAGCAACAGGTTGTACCCAATATACGTCTCGGCAGCAAGACAACAAAGACACTAAAATGAAATTACTACATGCTAATAAAGAACAGAAGGTTTGCAGGGAACGGGTATTTCTGGGGACTGATAACTGTCTGATAAAAGCTTCACCTCCCAATCAATCCATGAAAAATTCATTAGCATTGGACATTATTTATAGGCCTCTGTTAATTCAGTTGGCCTTAGATCAATTCCAAGTGCACAAAAGGAAAACCAAAATCAAGCCAATGTGACCAGCGTAAGTGTACCCCCACAGCAGGAACTGTAACCCAATCAAACTTGAATTACCACCTCAGCCTCAGGAACCTCATCATTCAAAAGCCATTTCAGATGCACTGGTAGGCTAACACATGGAAGCGTGCCTCATCATGCCTGAGAAAATTTATATAATCTTATATAAAAAAAATATATATAATTACATAAAGTTAACATGCAAGCAATGTGATTGCAGGTCTGAAACTAACTGATTTGCTGACGTATTTGTCAATGTCACTCTCAGTATCAAAAATGAAGTCGCTCAATGTGACAGCAGGGTTTTACCACCTCAACAAAAAATTGAACCAACAAGTCATTTTAATATTACTGTTGTTTTTATTTAACTTTTCACGTTTCACAGTAACTTACTCAAGAGTTAGAAAATGAAACAGCTTTTTCTGCTATTTTCAACTACTTTCTCACTACATTTTAAATGATGAGTATGTGCTCAATTAAAATGTTTAACAAAACCTTTCCAAGCACCACTGTATTCCAATGGTTGTTATTCCCCATTAATTTTTTTTTTTTTTTTTTTTACTCCTGTGCACAATCACATGAATATGGTGCTGTTAAGAAATGTGATATGCATTGTATCTTAAATCTCTATTTTTTTTCTAAATAATACACCATACTTTAAAGTCTCAACTCAGGAAAAGAGACAGCCATCTCCATGGCGCGTCCAGAGCGCCTCCTGTCCAGCTTTGTAGCTTGTCAATCCAGTTCAAAGTAATTTTAAATAATAGTCTTGCCTTCCCGTGCTGCAGACAACAGGGTAATATCTTGGCTTCCTCATTAAAAAATGTAACCATGGATCAATTGGTAGGAAGCTGTTTACTAGCAGCCACTTTCTTCTTACCTTCTTAAAGAATGCTGCAGGTGCCATTTCAGCTCCATTGAGAGTTCTCAAGAGAAACATTGGCCAAGAAGATGCATTCATCTGGAACCCTGAGTAACAAACAGACAGCCCTACTTTCAGTTTATAAAATAAAATAGGAGGAGAAGGATATAAAGTCTGTTTTACTAATGTCTCATTCCCTCTATATTGTACTCGGCCAAAATAAAAGTAGCCAAGAAGGAACAAACAGCGTCACTGTTGGTGCAGAAAGCCATGCAATGCATTTCCATTCTGAGTGACGTGCCTGCAGAACCACTCATCACAATTCGTGATATTACAGATAAACATCTAGGGCCTAACAACATGCAAGTTCTAGAACAGGAGATCATAAGGCTGTCCCACACAGGCCCTGGTCCAGTGAAACTCGCCCAGCACAAGCACCTAGCTTACTGTTCAGGTCTGCTTTTTGCCCTCATTCTAAACTGTTATCTTCTGCTCCAGCTTCCTTCATTTATTGAAAAGATGTCTTTTTATGTTTGAGACTCTTCTAATTCTTTCACGAGACCACAGACAAAAAAAAAAAGAACAATTGGCTCTCCCTCATTAAAATAAATAAATAGCCTTAAAAAACCAAAAAACACATAACAAGAACAAAAATACGATTATTTTAATAAATGCATGTATCTTATTGGAAAACAAATTGGAAGGTGATTCTACTTTAATATTCTTCATTACAAGTGAATAAGAAGCAGAAACAATAATCAAATTGGTTTAGATGAACTGCCTAATTCAAGCAGAACTAAGGTTTGGCTGAAAACTTTCTCATTCCAGATAATCTTCCCTCAGAATCAACTACTTTCCACCTAAAAACCAAAACAAAACAAAAAATCCTTTTGGTTTCTGTGCTTTCCAAAGAGATGTTTTAAAGTAATGAGCAAGATAACAGACATAGTGGACATTTTTCCTGCGTCTCTAGCAGTTATACATCTGGCACAGTTCTAAAGAAAAACGGACATAATACAGCAAATTGGAAATTTTTCCACAAAGCAAATAGTATCAGAATCTGCCAGGAACTGATGAGTTCCCTCATAACTAAGCCTCAACAATCCTCTTTAAAAAAAATGTAACTAGAAAAGTGGAACATATCTGCAATTCTTCATCAGTTAAATCATTAAGTCATCTAAAACTGGATTATATGCTATAATTGTTCTTTAACAAGTAGCTTTAAGCTATTTTCAGTTGAATAAACAGTTTTCAATTTGGAACTACCTATGCAACACCTAAATGAATACAAAGCTCATACTTGATAAATGATGTCATACTTTGAGGACTGCTGAGCTGACTATCAGTCCTGGTTTCATACCAGAGTCTTTCTATAACCTAAACACGTGTGGTTACCAAAACCAAATATTCCTAACCAGCTAGCCCAGAAAAGACATATACACAAGACAGAGGAATGACAACTAAGCAAGAGTTTCAAATAAAGTTATTTGGCCTTTAAGACATTCTGGTAAAAACAGATAAAATGTTACGCTCAACATGATTTGTTGAGAACATTAAGCTCTCAACAACAAAAAAGCTCACCTAAGAAAAACAGAGGCTGGAACAGGAACCTTTTGCTACATTAATTACTTTCTCAAAACCCTTATGTAACATGCATAATTAAACCTATGTAAAAATCAGGTAGGAGGGACTATTTTAGCTAGTTATTATGAGAGAAGCAGAACATTAGTATCCAGAAGGTTCCCTACTACTCAGGAAAAAAAAAAAAAAAAAAAAATCAGTTGCTTAAACATCTAACAGGAGGTAATTATACACCCAATTAGCTCCCAGCTTTGCCCAGGAACAGGATGCTGTAAAACTGCCAAAAAGGCTTTTTCAAAAATTCATCTAGGTATGCCAGAATGTTTGATTGCTGGAACTTAGCCTATCTCTAGAAAAATCTAGGGCAGGAGAGACAAAATAATGGCACTCACATTCTTTTCTGAATAACCAGCAATTGTTACGAGGACAGGTAAACTTACATGCCTGGGTGCAGGGAAACAGCTGCTTGTTAGGTGCTGCACTATGAGCAGCCTGACCAAATAAGAGTGAGAAACAGTATCCGAAGAGAAGGCATCAAGCTTTCTGCTCACGATTATGGAAAGTTTCTCTTCTTAATGGATTGACTCCCCGCATTATCATAACCCAGCGTTGTTTTATTCATCAGACTGGTTTAGAAACACATTTTAAAAAGCACTATGCTCCTGAACTGAAGCCATATAATTAACACTGTACATATGTGCAGCTGAAAGAATAGGTATTACACTTCTCTATTACAAACCTCTTTCATACTGGTATCACTGCACTGATTCTATAAGATTATATCAAGAACTTCAGAGAGCTTAAACTGAGTAACTTCTCAAAAAAAAAAAAAAAAAAAAAAAAGACTCTTTTCTCCCAGGTGTCAAGAATTTCCAGTGCTTTCATTCAAAACATCTATACATACACAGGAAAGAAGGAAAAAAGCCCTTCTGGGCTCAAACTGTATCTATCTATCAGAAATAATATTTTTCTAGACTGGCACTCTGGTTGCATTGCTTTTCTTGTGTTTCTAAAAAAGCACAACAGCACAAAAATCTACCCCTATAATCTGTGTGAAGTGTCTTAATGGTTACGTCAGCTGCTCACCTCTCTACAAGCAAATCAGGTTTCATGCTGTAGTGAAACAATACTTTTCACTTCATCTTTCAGAGAAGTGAAAGTTGGGAACAAATTGGGGTGCCAACATTTCTGAGAGGCTACTAAGAGAAAGCATACCTATCTTCACTAAACCCCTGATGAGAAATCTATAACAGTTACTGATGACACCAAACTAGAAGTAAGTTCATAACCATAAGATGGGAAACAAGCAGTACCAATTACTGCTCACAGTTAATTTCTTATAGAAAGAATATTATTTCTTGCATCTTACAAAAACTACAGACGGTAACAGGATAACAGGGGAGGGGATGTGGCTGTTTTGGGGGGGCTGGGGGAAGTGGGTTAAGATAAATTTTGGTCATTATTTTTCCTTCTTTTTAAAAGCAGAACTATTTTCAGACCAACGTGAAATATGTGTTTCTTTAAAGATTTCCACACCTAGAAGTTTAAACTGTAACAAATACGGTAAAAGAATGCAGATCTAAATACACAGGTTAATTACAGCAAAGAAAGGTGATATTGCGCTTTATTACCCCTAGTAGTTAGTCAAAGTTAACTCTGACTATTCATCATATAACAAGGAATTCCTTTGTACAGTTCCCCATTTAATAAACTTCCTCAATAAGACTAAGTCGAAGCACTATTTCTCAATTCAGTGAGACATAATGTTGTCACCCATATTGCTCGGGAAGGAAAAAAAAAAAAATCTGCATACTATTTCTAAGTGTAGGAAAGCTACACCTTGTTCACGAGCATTTGTCACGCTCACAAACCAGTCATGACAAACTGATCAGATGCCCCCCAATGTGTGTCAATTTGAGGAGATAAGAATCACATGCAACATAAGCTTGCAGTGTGCTAAAGCTCTGGAGTGCTATTTTTCCTACCTCAGAGCAGAATGCTGCAGTACCGCCGTTAACCCACCCTACGCTGCCTTTCCCAGACCACAACCAATTTGCTCAGTGCCTCAAGAAAACATTCACGCTGTCCTGAACTGCTGCTCCTCCTGCAGCCCTGCTGAGCATTTCACGGGTGGGTCAACAGCGAGCGCCTTCTAGTGAGCTGCCCTGATTTACTGAACAGGAGAAAGGCAAGTCAGCTTTCCCCAGCTCTTATGAAGGTTGGCTAAAAGGGGCACACACAGCATCAACCAGGAAAACATGATATCCATACACACTCGTAAGACAGGCTGCGTATGAGGGAACATTTATAGAATGGGCACATGACAGCGTAACATTTAATATTAAGGGAGTATTAAAAAAATTATCAGAACTCAAACTAATTATTCTGTTCATTCTTATGTCAAAAGAATGCAAAAACAAGAAAAAAAAAATCATCATTCACTCAGTCTGAATTAGTTTGCTTACCTCTTTTTCAACTAAATAATGGTTTGGTGAAATATTAGTACCATTGAATTTGCCAAGACAAAAAGGTAAAATCGACTTCATGAAGGCAACACTCCACACACATTAGTTCGGAAGCTTTGTTTCTTACCAAGCGGAGGCTGGAGCATGCCCCCTTTCTTTTCGCAGGTCCCGATGGGCTGTATGTCCGAAGAATCCACAAGCCTCCAAAAATCATTTTTGTTGTCACTTCCATCCAGCCGCAACCTTAGTCTGGCACCAGTGATTCCAATTACTGTAGCTATACAAACCGAGGTAACATTGCGAGGATCGTGGGCTTCCAGTTTCATACCAACTTTGAAATCATTTGTAGGTGGAATTCTAGACTACAGTAAAAGGCAAAAGATTTTTTCTTATTGTTGCTGTTAGCATTGCTAAATTTACCAGCCAGTTCAACATACAGCTTTCATTCATTCAAACATATCATATAACTGGCAAATATAAAGAAACATTTGAACTTTGAGTGTTTAGCAGCGAGTCAGAAAAGGCAGCTGGATAACCCACCAATAGCTACCATTTCAGATACTTGGTGTGGCTGCTGTGTAAACATGACTGGTTTCTAAAAAGATTAAGCACACTATGAAGGGTAACAAGGAATCATGATGAAGATATGAACATAGAGATGGAGGAGCAGTGATTAATAGTTGAAGTGAACAGAAAACACAGACATCGGGAAACATGACATTCAACTTAAAAAAAAAACCCAACAAACCCACACAAAAAAATCCCAATGCCACTCATAAGACTTATTAGCTTTCAGTTCAAAAGAAATATAATAGTATTTCCCATATCTTGGAAATTTAAAGAAAATTTGGGCCCTAATGCACTAAACACTATAAAAGCTCAAGTCAAGAAAGAGTTTCTGCATTAAAAAAAAGCTTACAATACAAAGATGACATCAGAAAAAAGAGTTAGTGTTAACTGCATTTTACAGAAAGAAAAGACAACCATAAAGTCACATAAAACTTCTGTACTAAGACAAAAAATGCAGCTTGCACTTATTCGTACAGAACTGAATATATTCATGCACATAGAATGAAATGCCAATTTAATTAGCGCAGGGAGAAGAAACATGACAAACGCAACTTGGTCTTTGAGCAGAACTTTTTGTCACAAGCTGAAGATGAACAAAAAAGAAGCATATTGTTTACTCATGTATCAACATACTACTGGCAGAGACCGACTGGATCACAGTCCGATTACTTGCCTACTGTAGCACTGCAAGCAATAACATCATCTAATGATGTTCAAAACTTCATATTAACGCCAACTGGGATCGAATGCCCCTCGCTATTCTCTTTAGATGTCTCCTCATTCCCAGCCTAAATTTATCAGTGGAAATTTTTTCCAATACTGTCATTTAACTTAAATTCTTTCTGCACCTTTGCAAATAACAACAAAATCTACAGTGTACTGACAGAGGGCAACCTGACCCTTTTCCAGTACTCTTTCAACAAGTTAAATAAGCCAAGCACTGCAGTTTCTCTTAGGAGAGGATGACTATTCTCCTATTACCCTGGAAGCCCTTTTTCTGCAACTCTTCCAGCAGAAAACTGCTCTTGAACACAGACACCAAGAACTGTAGGCAGCCTTTCTCATGACATTTAAACCCAGCACCTATCCCGTACAGACTAACACCATCTGAATCCTAATACAGGAGGCAGGAAGAAAACCCAAACCCATGGTTTTTGGATTCATATGTCCCTCCTCCTGCCCACCTGCCCAGGTCAGGTGGGGATCGCACAGTAAGCAGGTAAGAGTGCACTTATCTGTCTGGGTACACAGGAAAAGGCTGACGAAATCCACTACTGCAACAAGTGTTAGTTACATTTTGTCTCCAACACATTTAATTTTTTTAAATATATCTTTCTCTACTTGCTATGGTGTACGGGTGCACTACTTACAACACACCCTAGATCAACAGCAGGAACCCTGGAGGAGCCCAAGCCCAAAAAACAGAGGCGTGCAATATTCAGTGAATGCTGAGCGTAGCATCTGCCAATGCTGCATTTAGACAGCAGGCTGTCTGAAAGGGGAGCCTGAGCATACTAAATTTAAAGGGCAATTCAATTGCAGGATATTGCTTGTCAAGCTGTTATTTTCTACAACCATGAAAGGCAACTGAAATTGAGAAATTGGGAAGTTTGCTTATTTGTTTGTAGAAAAGGTGAACTTGTTTAAATACGAACAACTCAAGGCATTTAGTAAAAAGGCAACTCCTCCATGCCAGTCCATCCTTACAGCAAAATAGCAAAACCTGCTCAGTAACAGCCTGTTTTAAGCTCTGTTCAAACCACAAGGGACTGAGCTTTTTAATTTAAAATTTTCAACTGCTCGAAAAAAAGTTTCAGGGTGAGAAAAAAGGGATGTGGAATGCATCAAAATTTTAAGTAGTAATTAAAAACAACTTAGAGCAACAGATAAAGTATCTTCTAAATTAAGATAAATACTTTAATCAATTTCCATTAGCTGTCTGTGCCTGTATCTTAATTTATGGTAGAGGCTTTAATTTATTGCTCCCCAGGTCATCTTTAATTACTACAAAACTTAAACTTTGTAGAATTCCCACAGGTCACGAATTCTAGATATAATTATCAAATTATGCTTCTCTCTGCTATTTGTTTTCTGGCTGGCCACAGCAGTGTGTTTCTTTGCATTACACAGAGTGATAATGACACATACAATTCATGTGTAACCCAATAGAAGTCAAATTCGTCCTACACAAAGCTCAAGCACTTTAGTTTCTAAAATCTGCAAACATTATGTAGTGAAAGGTGTTAGCTCTGCATTAATTTACATTGTATATCACTTTCTACTTAAAGGTCAACTCTTAGAAAGTCTGCATATGTAAACTGTTTTGAAATTTGCTATGCACAGAAATTAAAGCTCTTCTTTCCAAACCACACACTCCTTAAGCAATCCGGGTCACTCAGATTTACCTTTCTCAGTCAATGCATGTCACTTCAGCATCTTTAAGGTGTTACTCAGTTGTTCAGTTTGGACCTCTTGAGCATTAGTAAGAAAGAGGAAGATGCAAGAAAGGCACAAGGAAAGGCTTCTGAGAAGCTTTCTGCAGTAGCTGCATCACTTGGGAGCACACATGCTGGTCATGGTGGTCTATGGTCCGCAAGCGTGGCATGAACCTCAGAATGATCCGGGTATACACTGCTGCCCTCTGCCTCTATCCAAGCAGAGTTTGAGGTCTCTGCCTTGAGCTGGTATCCACTATGAAAAACATGTGCTGTAGAATTAATTTCTGAAGGTCCACTCAAACAGCTACAGACACTGCTACTCTTACCCATCTCTCATTGAAAGCAGCACGTGAAGGGCTCTTTGACCTTTATCCTCTCTGAGAAGAGCAAGCTGAGATTCAAGGTCTAGTACAAGGAAATGCTACCACCTGAATTTCTCTCTCCCTATTCTCCATTCCTGCAACTACGTCAGATTCACTGAGTGACAGTTCCTCTCCTCCTCAGACTATTCTGTTCATGTTGCTTTTTATTTGGTCCCCACTGGAGGCCAGTATCATTCACAGTACCATCAAACTACCAAGAAACCCTAGAAGATACCTTTCTGAACATGCCCAATCCACTCAACTAGACATGCAGCACTTGTCACACCTATTACAGTTCTACCAACCCGAACTGTCCAGTTCCTTCAGCATCTATCTTCCTAACACAGGGAAGGCATACAGACCGAAACTCATTCTATTTAACTTCACGCAGCTAAGATACTCCTTGACTTGGGAAAATACTGGCCCCAGGTCCCTCTACAGAGAGGAAAATGCCTGCAGAGGTCAACTCACTCCAGAGGGCTGAATAACTGGAGGTCATTAGCTTACATGAGATGGTAGATTTAAACTGCATGTGCAAATAAATACCAAACCATCAGTAGAGGGGGGAAACCAAACTTGTAGGGCACAGTGCATAACATAAAATAGTACATTAAACACCCCTGATTATAAATCCAGTATTTCCTTTGTATTCCTGAATACTCCCCTTGATTTATTTTTTTAACTTCAATATCTGTTACTCCTTAGTAAAATGCACTCTGCTCAGAAAGAAACAAAATTAAACATATTTGAGAGCTCCAGAAAAGAAGTGGTGAATAAACTCTACTAGACATACAAATATCTTGTAGCTAGCCAGAAATGAAAGATTCCTTCAGAAATATGGCAGGAGAAAGGCTCCTCTGATGATCAGCCAAATTTTAATTCTCACTAAAACCATGGTACCACTAAGATTACTGAAAAAAGCAGAAAATATTTTTGAACTCTGATAAAACTATCTGTTTTCATTAACTACACTGTTTTTAAAAGGAAAACAAGAGTCCAAAGCATAAATTTTAATGAAACTCTCAAAGTTTGGCTTGAGGCAGAAACAAAGAATGAAAAACTTCAGCAGCTAGCATCTGCCAAAACTGTAAACTACTGACAACTAGAGATCAAAAGAAGTCAAATGAGAAGTTTGCAGGCAGTCTAAACATAAAAGTTGCTCTAGGATCACCCAGTAACATGCACACATACACATGCACTTGCAAAATAGTATCTGGCATACCTGTCTGAAACAATGTAGAGGGGCAGCTACAGATTCAGTCTCTTTCAGATATTCATCCCAATTAAACTGTTCTGGAAGACATAAGATAGAAAAAGACCATACAGGCAGTTTTTAAAGGGAACTTAAATTAAAAAAGGGGGTTGGGGAAAGAAAGGGACAGAAAAACCCAACTATCTTACAGAATACATTTTTTTTTCCCCCAAGAACAGGATTACTATCAAATGGAAACTCCACCTTTGAAAAACATACAACCCTTGAAGGAGCTTTAAGAGTACTGTTAATTCAAGTGGGCAATCAAACAATAAGCAAATTCAATATAAACCTTCCCCAATTTTTTTTTGTGGTCCACACACAAAGATAGAAGTCAGCATACCTAGATACAACTCTCTGTATAAGGACCTCCCAAGCTTCCTTGTACAAATCACATTAGCCTCCCTGTATCTTAGTTCTCCTGACAGCAGGACTGATACGATAACCTCACAGGAGTACTGATATATGTTTAAAAACAGACACACATAAATTCTGTTGAAATGTATGTTGAGAATACTATCCCCAGTCCACTAGAAAGCAAAAGGATTAGCACAGCCTTCTAACTGCATCTTCGTCTCTTTTCATCTGAAGTCTGATAAAGGTTTCTCTTTGTAGGGTAAATATTATTGCAATGTTCAGCAAAGCAATCGTGGTATTTTTTTCCAGTGTTAACATTGGCATTATGTGCATGGGTGAGTGCATTCTGCATCTGATTTACTGAGTGTAACCAGTTTTGCATAAATGGAAGAGTATGAAGTACTAACATCAAAGATATAAGCAAGCATTAGTTATATGAATATAAAGTGTAAGAGAAAAAGTACAACGGCACAACTAATGTTTTTGTTCCTAAATTATCTAAGTGGTATCTTTTGCTTATTTTTCCTATTTGGGCAGCTCGCATCTTCCTGATGTTCCTGAAGAGTACATGACCCATGAACCCCAAAATGATGCAGTGATGCCACCCAGTGGCTCAGCAACAGCCGTTCAACGGCCTATAGCAAAATCCTCCGTGATGATGGAGAGACCACACCGGGTTTATCAGTAATCCTTCCACTGGGCACAAGTTAAACACATCTCTGCAATTTTCTGGAGAAAGGAGAAGCAAAGAAATGATCAGAAAACGGCAGCATTTTCCAGCACTCGCACACTGTTTCTCTGAAGGATGCATGGTGGCTCAAACCCAGCACAGCATTTAGTTGAAAATATATCGTGCCTCAAGCAGAAGAGAACTAACCCCTTGGCCTGCTGAGATCCTCTTTGGTTTGTCTTGTTTTGTTTTTTTTTGTCACAACAGATTCAAAAGAGTGCAAGTGATTTGTCCTTGGCACTGCAGAGGCCATGCGGTTGTTAGCTACGTAACAAGTCAGTAAAGTCTCGAAAGCTGCTAGTTTGGTGGTCTGGACTGTATGTAGGCTGGTAGCAAAGATGTTTCCATACAGCATCTTGGAAGTCCACCTATTTTGGAATGAAAATTTTATTCACACAAATATATACAGCTATACCGATTTCGTATTACTCACAAAAGGCAGGGTATATTAACTTAAGTATGTGTTAGATATTTGTATTTCAGGAAGGCATGCTCAGGAAATGGCTCTTCAGAGCTTTCTCCAGAAAGTAGCCTCCAGATCCACTGCTCTTTTCATTGACAGGCCAAGGAGGCTGCAAAAATTAAATACGGTGAACCGCTAGCAAAGCTTCATCTCATTATTAGAATCAAAGAAGAATTTTCATAAATTTTCCACTTCAGGTTAACTTCTGATTAAAAAAAAAAAAAAATTAAATCAGTTTACCTTTGTCAACTTTAAAGTACTCAATTCAATAAAATTAAATCTAGCAAAAATAAATGTTAGCTATGTCCCAGCTGTCTCAGATCTAACACGATGTAGAAGCTGTAATCATGAATCAGAGCCTCGCTGTGTAAGGACCATATAAATGCAGATACTTCAGAGACAGCACCTTTCACCAGGAGAAACCGTCATTCACCTCCTCAGAAAAAATTCTCTCTATACACCAGCATTTCTCAAATTATCTCAACTGTTACAACAGGACTGTAAATTTGGTGGGATGACCCAACAGTAGAGTGAAACAAACAGGTTTGGTTTTGTGGGGTTTTTTTGGTTTAGGTTTGTTTTTTTTACAGGAACATTTACTACAGAGACACATAAGGTAACAGAAGCAGCCAGCTGCAGACAAAGCTAAGAGGAAAACCAACATTGCCTGGCTCTTTGCTTTAAATCCTGGCTATAAAACATCTTTATCAAGCAAAATGACCTGAAGTTTAAATTAAAATCTCTCCACCTGTGAAAATACGGTGTATTAAATTAAAGCCAAGCTCTCTGAGATGGTGCTAATTATCATTTAATTACTGCAGTCATAGAAATAGGAGATGACTATGTTTGCAACATGTAAGATGCATGTCTAGGAAGATAATCACAACGACAAAAAATCTCTATGCTTAAAAGCTGCTCTGTATTCTCAGTGTGCAGAGGTAAAGAAGTTGTTGTTTTATATACCTTTCTAATTCTAAAGCCCCTGAAAACATGCAACTTCTGAGAAATACAAATCCTTAAGAAAATTAGCTTGCACTAAATGATTTAACATGCATTTCTCTTCCCACTCAAACCTGCAGGCTGAATTAAACAGCCTAAGAAAAACCCATTATGCAACAAACATAACTTTATAACCCTCTAGCAAAGTGAAAACTAGAGAGAGAAAAGATTTTTTATGCTGAAGAACAAACCAGCATATACTGGAAACAGGGAAAAAAAACAACCCATACCAAATGACAACGAGTACCTTTTGTAAAAAAAATTAAACCGCTTGGAACCAACACGGGAGTGAGACTCTAAAACAGTAATCCAAGACAATCAGCATAGGCAAACAGCCTGACTAATTTAAAAATGGAGGAAATAAGTTTATGCTATAGTTGTCTGCATTACTGGCAATGACCCATGGTTCAATGACCCTTGATGTCCCCTGCAATGCTGTATCAATACCCTATCACTTCTTGTCAAACCTGTCAACCACAAAGTAACTCAAGCTAAAAGGGACCCCAGGAGGTCTCTAGTTCAGCCTCCTGCTCCTCCAGGGTTCCATCGCCCTTGATGTGAAGACTCTTTTCCTTCCATCAAGTAGGAATTTATTGTGATTCAGCCAGTATTTGTTGCTTCTCATCCTTCCATTGCGCCTCTGAGAGGAGCCTGGCTCTGTCCCCTCTACAGCCACCTGCCAGGTAACTGAAGACAGTAAGATGATCTCCCACAAGCTTTCTCTTCTTTCAGCTGAAGAAACCATTTTTTCTGGTTTCAGTACCAGTTTTCTGCTTATATGTCGCACTCCAGCTCCTTCATTTCTTTGGTGGACTGCCAGCCAGCTTGCCCCGGTGTCCTCCTTGTACTAGGGAGCTCAAAACTGAACACAGTGCTCCAGATACGGTCTCAAAAAAATGCAAAAAGCAGCAAATCCCTTTTCTCAGCCTGCTGCCTAGTTTCGCTGACAGGACTCAGCATGCAGTTGACGCCTTTCCCCACAAGAGCACACTGCTGGCCCGCAATCAGCTTGCTGCCTGTCGGGACTCCATGGCCTTTCCCGCAAAACCGCTCTCCCGGCAGCCCAGCTTCCCGCCCGGGCTGCTGCAGGGCTCCGGTCCGCCCAGGCGCAGGAAGGACCCTCCGTTTGCCTTCGAATCTGACGGGGCTCCTGTCAGCCCGTTTCTCCGGCATGAGGAGGTCTATCTGAAGAGCAGCCCTGCCTTCCAGCCTACCGGCTACTCCTCCCAGTTAGACGTTGCCCACAAACCAGCTGAAAGTGTGTTCTGTCTCGTCATCCTCACCCGTCAGTAAGGTATAAAATACCACCAGCCCTAGTATTGACCCCTGAGAAGTAGCACTAGCTACCAGCTGTCAGGTGGACATCGTACTGTCTGGCAGTCCAGTCAGTTTTCCATCCACCTATCCAAACCACATCTCACCAGTGTGGCTGAAAGGACACTACAGAAACAGTACAGAAAGCCTTGCTAAAGCCAAGATGAACAACATCCACTGCTCTCCCCTTGTTTACAGAATCACTTATCGCAAAAGGCGACCGACCAGTCAGCAAATCCATCTCAGCTGTTCCTGACCTCATCTTTGTCCTTTATGTGCTTGGAAATGGCTTCCAGAAGGATTTTTGTCCATAGTCTTCCTGAAGACTGAGGTCAGGCAGGCCAGCCTGTAATTCCAGCAGGTACTCCCTTCTTGTCACTGGGCACACTGTTTTTCCTTTTCCAGTCATCACAAAACTTTCCCAGTCACTATGACATCTCCAAAATGAGAGATAAGCCTCATGTGACATCAGTCAACTACCCTTGGAGCACCCTTGGAGAAGTCTCATTTGCTCCCATGAATATGCAAACGCCCAGTTTGCTGAAGTGCTCCCTGTCTTCTTCTACTATACATAACACTTCAGTTTAGATTAAGTCAGAGTTTTACAAAATTTAAATTGAAGATTTAAACTATGAGTTAAGTGTCACTTGTAGATAGGTAGAATTTAAGGTCCTGGTTTATTTAGGTTAGTTTAAACACAATATCACCACAGCCTTAATGTTGTTTAAGCAGACAGAGTACCTCGTGTTCTCATCTCATCCCTAGGTTCCCTTGGCATGCATCTGAGACTTTTGACACAGACATGTATTTTTCCTAGTCTTCATACGACAATCTCTCTTTGTAACAGATAAGGTTTTCTTTTAATTTTGATTTACATACTCTTGTAAACGTAGTAGCTTAAGTGCAAGGTATTTCATACCCTGCTTTATAACTTGTACCTCCTTCTATATGCTGTGGTCATTCAATTAGAATTTTTCTCCACCTCCTGTCCTTCTCTACCTACTTTAGTCTGTTTTTTCAACTATTCTTCCCACATCTCTGTATCTCCCCTTCTCTTCAACTTTTCCTATCACACATCCCCTGAAAACTCCAGGGACTTCCTGGATGCTAGCCCAAAACATTGTAAGGCATCTTTTTTCATACAGCACCAAGACACTCCTTCTTCTTCCTTGCCACCA